TTATTCAAATCCATTCAACTTTCCAAGTTTACATAGCACGTTGGCAAATACATTTTGAATTAAATTTTATTAAATCGAGATTGATAAGATATTATAATAGATAATATGAATCAAATACATAATACGTCGATGCATATTTAAAAAAATTATAAGTCTATATGTTTAAATGTAAATTCAAATACTAAAGGTTAAAACATTTGACATCAGAACGAATATGAAGGAATAAAAAAAGGATAAAAACAATGTTACAAAATATTGGTAATATTTCCAACGTATTATGCTTTTCAATGACCAAAGTAGTCGTTTAAAATTTGGGCTGTGGACACAACAGAAATAATAGTATGTTCATAAAAGTATACTCTTATGAAATATGTTGATAGGTACAATAGATTACAGTATGTCTTCGAAAAACAAAAGAAATATCGTACCTATCGTATGCGTGGTGCGTATCAGTTGATGTGTTTTTATTAAACAATGTATGTATGTAATGTATAATTAAAATAAATACAATCGTAAGTAGTATTAGATAGAGCAATATATGAGAAAGAAAAAATAAAGGGGCCTTAATATGTGGTAAGCTAAATGGCAAGAGTCGTGCTCTGCTTGACTCTGCTTTGTTTTTAAATTAAGATATTGTACATATTTTAAATAGTAAAGATAATAAAAAATAAAAGAGAGAAAAAATATAATGAATTATATGCCTGTAAAAAAGTACTTTTTTGTGTAATTATGTAATCAATATTGAAATTTTATCATTTGAATTAATATTGTCACTTTTGAGTTTCTTCTTTGTAATATTTATATGTATTTTTGGTGGTTGTACATGATGATAAAAATCTATTAAAATAAATAAGTCTTAGGAAAATGTGATTGTGTAATAAATTAGTCGTTTTAAAATAATTATTTAATGATTTTTTAATCATTTTTTAAAATAATTTATCACCTCGTTTCATTTTTCATTTTTTTATAGTTTAAATTATAATAACAACTTTTATATATAAATTGCTACAATTACAAGATATATTTACATTCATTGTCTATACCATATTTGTAATGTTTTCATGCGTTTAACTTTTTTCTGCAGTTGAAGAATACCATACATTAAAGCTTCTGCTGTTGGGGGACATCCTGAAATGTATTTATAACATATATGTAACTTTATTTTTATTATATTTTTATATATAATAAATATAATAATAAAAATAATAATATAAATCTTATAAATGTTTTATTATGTTACCTGGCACATATATGTCCACAGGTATAATCCTATCACATCCTCTGACAACGGAATAACTATAATGATAATAACCACCACCATTAGCACAGCTTCCCATTGAAATAACCCAACGAGGTTCAGGCATTTGATCATAAATTTTCCTCAATGCTGGGGCCATTTTATTCGTTAGAGTACCAGCAACTATAATAACATCAGCTTGCCTTGGAGAAGCCCTAAATACAACTCCATATCTATCCATATCATATCTTGGAGCTGCTATGTGCATCATTTCAACAGCACAACAAGCTAGACCAAATGTGAGTGGCCATATTGATCCTTTACGACCCCAATTTAAAATATCATCTAATCGAGCTACTGCATATTCAGCAAGATTGTTGGTATTTTGAAAAGGACTATAAGGTATCTTTTTTACTTTTTGTGGCAAAGAAGTTTCACTTGTTTTTAACGGTGTATCTGTGGCTATGTGTTTAGTTTGACAAACTAAAGATGCAGGACATCCTGCTAAGGCAATATTATTGCGTATCAGGGATGTTAGGCCCTGATTAACAGAGGCTAAAAAAAAATATGTGATATTAATTTTTCCATTTATTATTCTTTTTTTTATATATAATTTATATATTAACTTTTAAGAAAAAAAAAACAATTTTCAATATTATTAAAAATCTAGTTGGATACAAGGTTATGAAATATAATATAAAATTAAGTTTGAAAAGATTATGTATATTTCAATATGGAAAAATCAAATTAAATTAGACAAAATTGCCACATCTTATGCAATACAAATTGTTAGATAGAATCAAATATAAAATTAAATGTGAAATTATAAGCTATAATTATTATATTTATGATAGAATTTTAAACTAAAAAGAAAAATGTTTTTTTCTGCACTTAAAATGTTTATTTTCTCAACAGTTGAAAACAATTGAAAACATTGAAATTAAATCGTAAACTTACGCGAAAACATAAGAGAGCGCAACATTTTTCACCCTATACACCCTCTCCGACACTCAATTGTCTGCTACAGTGTGATTCTGCGCTGTGAATACATAGTATAGCGTAACAAGCATGTATGGTAGTTCGATATAGACTGTAAAGTTTGCAGACCAAGTATAGACGAGGAGAGGAAATAGTGGAAAAGGATAGAGATAAGGTAAAAATATTGAAATCAACGCCATCTCCAGAGTGCCGTAAACGAAACTCGCAAAGAAAGGACAAAAGATAATAGAAGAAGGATGGAGATAAAATAAGAATTGACCGTCAACGCCATCTCTGAGAACTTCTAGAAAGATGGTCCTCTAAATATATGCTCTTGATACTCGAGAGATGGCGCTAGCGGTCAATTCTTACCCTATCTCCATCCTTCTCTTACCATTTTCTATCCTTTCTTTGTGAGTTTCATTTGCGGCACTCTGAAGATGGCGCTGATTTCAATATTTTTACAATATCTCTATCCTTCTCTCACATTTTCCTCTCCTTGTCTACATTTATCAATGATTTTGTAGATAATATATAACACAGATATAAAATATTAATTGAACATATTTACTTTCATCGTTTCTCTTTCAAAAGTTACAACGTGTTTCTAATATAAAAAGTACGAATAAATGAACGAAATTCTTTCGTAGAATGTTTTTATTGGCTCAGTTTCTGTTTTATACAAAACATCTAAGAAACACAGATGCTTTCCGCTGACATTTGTTTTAAAACTTCGCCTCACGAAAGCGGCTAATCTATCGGTTTCGCGGTTTCCTAGTCTTGCAGTTCCCAAAGGGCAGACTAAAATACAATGCGATATTGTTTTTTTTTTTTTTTGCTTCAACTTGCAGTTGTGCTTGTGTATGTCGATGCGTCTAATCATAAACACTATCTATTACTCATGGTGGTCATTAAAAATTCCAAACGTAAATTCCTTAAAAAGTGCCTCTCAAGTAAAGGACTGTGAACTACTTCAGCGAACGGACGGGGACGTTAACTAGGCCATGGAACCAAATTTGACTATTCGCTCGTAAACGATTCGCTATATACAAAAACGGTCCCTACGATTTATCGCTTATCAATCGAGCTAATTTCCTTTCATCTAAGGCTTCTTATTTTTTAATTTTTTTCACCATTTCGCTTCCATCAAGCGGCACAACAAAATATCGTTACGTTTTATAGATGTACGATGATTTCGTTGAACGAAAACTGCGTTTAATAATTTTGTTGGAAAAGTAGGCGCGTGTGAACTGTGTGCAATTTGTACGTTGTATCGTAGAGAACTATTTAGCATAAGTTCATTAACCGATAAACATCTAAGTAACATTAAGTAACAACTTATACTTCAGCAACAACAATAGGATCATTTGTCATCCCTTTTCGTATTCAGATCGTATATACGAACAGTTTCCATCGTTTAGCAGCAGGCTCACATAATTTACAAATGTTCGTCGTAATGTTTTTTTTCTTTTTTCGGTCAGTATATTATAATCGATTAATCGATTTATTCGATGCCACTTTTTTAAAAAAAAATTTCTGTTTCAAAGTGAAACACACATTCAACGTTCGAAACTAGCTATATTATAAGAATTCCACCGAAAAAAGAAAGAATTTTTTAACAAAATTTTACATTCTCTCGTTTCTTTTTTTAATATTTTTTTTTAACAATATACAGACAATATTATATCGGTATATATAACAAGAGGATTAAATTTTAATGCTTGACGCGTGCGCACCTGACTTCCTTGTAACTTAATTTTATATTTTTTTACTTCTTTTCCTATGTCTTTCTTTCCGTTTCATACAAAATGTAGAAAATAAATGTAGATTAATAAAATAATTTAAATTTGAATAAATTCTTACTAAAAATTAAAATTATACGTGTTTACACGTGTCATTTTCATTTCGAAAAAGTTAATCCAAATTGAAGATTTGTAAATTCATATTATTCGTAATTTTTTTAAATTACAAGGAAGTCAAAAAAAAAAAAACAATCGTTACGTATGTAGTATGGCACGAAATGTATTTTTTTTTTTTTTAAAACTTCACAGTCTACAACGTCGAGGTATCGACTAATCTACCAAAAATGTGATCATTAAGAATGATATTCTAAACTCCCAACTACTAAGATCTCTGCCTAAAATTTTCAATTTACTTTGTGCGCCATTTTTATCATCGATCGTTTTGAAATCACGATTCCAGATAAAACTGAACGATCTGGAGTAGCCTCAGACTTTTCAACATTCCTATAAATTCTCACGAGTTGTTCGGTGCGCATTTTTCACGTGCACAAATGATACTCACTCGAAATTTTGTCACGGTAAATGCAAATTGCATGCCAAAATGTGCGAATACGAATTCTCATCCCGGGGTAAAATTGTAATCCATCATTTTTTTTTAGCGATCCATCATCAAAACGGGGAATAGCATCAAATTGAGCAAGTTTTCGTTCAACAATAAAAATCCCAATTAAGCTTCGCGTTTAACGTTAAGAGATAAACCGAGGAACAAGATTTTTGAAAAAATATATATGTATATATATATATATATATATGTGTGTAATAAAAAAAAAAATAATAATAAAAAAGTTATTGCAGCAATAAATCTTCGTGTCATCTTTATCTTCCCCACCCCTCTGCATTCTTCGTTTGAATTCTTCTGAGTTTTTTTTTTTTTTTTTTCCCCCCCTCTTTTTTATGTGCGTTATCCTATTTATCTTCTCTCGATATTTACATAACAACGTAAGTTACAAATCGCAGAATCCTTTTTTCCCCTCCCCCCCTCTTCGGATACATTATTATTGTTGATATGGCCTCACGGATTCTGGGAAAATTCTTATTATTATGCAACATTTGTTCCGTAGCGAGTATCACTGGCGCAGACGAACGTTTCTAGCGTAGCGTGTAAAACGAAAATGAAACGTTTAAGCGGCTAATGATTAAGTCTGCGTAATTCCATCGCTGCGATGTCGTCTACGGATATAAGCTTCTCTATGGGGATGCAAGAGAGTTCGCCACCGACGCACGACTGCGGCTGCTGCCATCTAGCTTCTCTTTCCGCCTCCTTCGCTTTCTCCGCCTCCCTCGCTCTCCTCTCCTTCAACTTCAACGAAAAGATCGCCACAGACCTGGCTCTCTTCATCAAACTCTGTTTCACTCTTGTCTTCTTTGCCTCCCTGTCCTCCTTCGACGGCTTCTCCTCTTCTTGGCTAGAGATCGTCTTGCTCGAGTCTGAAAGGCCGCTATCCTTCTCCTTCTCCGCGTAGTAAGATAATTGCTGCTTGTGATCGTGAATCTCTCGTTGGTGATGCTGATACTGCTGCCTCTCCGCCTTTTCTCGTTCTCTTTCTCTTTCAGGTGAGAATCGAAACTTTTGGTTCCTGTGAGCCACCGTCCACGGTGGGGCAGACCTTTTTTTTTTACCAAACACCATAATAATAATAATTAAATAAATTAATACAGATACTTCACACCTTTATTGTTTTTCGCTCGATTCGTACCTAAGAAGATCGCTATCCGACGAAGAGGCGAGCTCTTTCGAAACGATGCAATCGGTGGACCTGTGAAGAGTTAACTCGTCCCCGGTGCCGACGGTGCCTGCACCGCTGATCTCAGAATCGCTGGACTTGCGGCCACCAGCTTCGAGGCCCAATCTTCGAACCCAGTCCACACCTCCGTGAGGGCCGATCGTTAAATGGTGGCTGTAGTGATCGGCTCCACCCGCCGCCTCCGACTCGTTCTGAAGCCATTCCCTCGAACGCCTTCCTGCCCGTGCAAAAAACACACCCTTCTCTGACCAAAGATTTATCTCCAGCATTTTTTTTAACTCAAGAGGAGCTTAATGAATTGATACCGCTGTATACACTTTTTCTAGCAAGCACGAAGAAAAAGAAACAGAGTCGAACCTCGTTCTCCACCAGGAATAGAGCATCTAGGTGAATTGTGAATATCACGAACGCTGCCCATGCTGTTCTCGGTTGGGAAATGGGTGGCAAACTCGCTGCTGCTCGCGCTACCAGGGGTCTGGACCAGAGAAGGCGTTTCCGCGATCCTTGGCACGGATGCTGCGCCAGGTGTTGGGGGGCTACTGGGTGTCTGGGCGGACGATGCTAGGGTCGGTGTGTCCGGAACGCTGGGGGACGTTGCATCTCCGGTACGATTGGAAAGCAGTTGTTGCTCTTCGCTCTCACCGTCTGCTGGACTCACCACGAATCTCCCTGAGTTCGAGCGAAATTAATACATGGTAGGAGGTAGGAAAAGATCGAGTGGGTGTCGTCGTGTTTCACCAGTGGGCGAATCGCGAGCAAAAGTGAAATAATTACACACAGAGTCCCTTGGAATTCCTTCAACTTTGCGAATCTTCACTTTCGCTCCTTCGAAATTCCGCCTCGTTTCTTCTCCTTCCTCGAATTCCTCAAGTTTCTTTCACCTCCACGGATCTCTTCACCTTGAATTCCTCGAATTCTGTATACATCTTCCTCTAACGTCTCCTGCAATCCCCTTAAATTCTTCGTTTCTTTCTCAAAGTTGTTGGAATTCCTTAGAGCTCTTCAATTCTCGTGCCCAACATTTTTCATGGAGTATATATATATATGTGTGTGTGTGTGTGTGTGTGTGTGTGTGTGTGTGTACATTCGTTTCAATATCGAGTTTCAAATAAGCGGGAGAATTCTCTGGAAAAGCGGATGAGGGAGGAAGAATACAACGAGAGGAGCGAAAGTCGAGCAGCTTGTTCGGATTAGCATTAATATATAAAATATATATATATATATATATGTATGTATAATACAACCTTGTTTTTACTTACCTATCACTGTGGCTGGATGCTGTTCAGGGGAGGGGGTGGACGAAAGTCTCCTGACCGCTTCTCTCCTCAAAAATTCCACCTTGGCCATTTCCGTGGCCACCCAATGCGGAATATCCGGGATCGCGCAGATTATGATAAATCGTATGCCGAGCATAATGTGCTCGAGCGCGACTATCAATAAAATCGTTTGCGTGGCCGACATTTCTGGAAACATTCGCTGCACCTGCCCGCTCAACCCGATCAGAGCGCAATTTACCAGAATTGCGACCAAGCCCATAGCCTCCATCGCGTTCTGAAAAAAAAAGAAGAAAAAAAAATGTAATATCTTGGGTTAATTTTTATTTTTAGAAAAAAAATTCGAATATTAAAATTCTCGAGGAGAATTCTTTTTCATCCTTCTCCTTTCGAAATAATCGTTAAAGGATGCATTCACATACTTGCCAAGTTCCAATGTTGGAAACCCTTCGACCAAATGGTCGTTGAAGGACGAAACAAAGTTTGAAAGCGTCGCCTCGTAGCTCGAGAAGGTTTCCAAGCAGTGCAGCCATCGCAGCCAAGGGGAAGGCTGAGGAGAATAGGCACACGTATCCCAATTGTGACAGCATCTCCAGATGCTCCGAAAACGCACCGTCGTACTAAAAAAAACGTGGAAACGTTTTTTTTACATCGATCACTCGTGAACTCGTGTCTCAAAATCTCTTTTTCTCTCTTATAATTATCATCTCTCGCGTGTGTGTGTGTGTGTATAGTTTCAAAATACAGTGTAGACAGTATAAGCAAGTAACTTGTATTATGTAGGTTTATTATCTTGAACGAATTACTCTAACGTTTGACCGTGTCTCTTTGTATCCGTTTATTAATAATAAACCTACAATCTTATCTAAGGGAAGAACTATAATTTAAGGGAAGAATTATCATAATAATAATAATAATAATATTACAAAGTGAAGAAGAGTATACAGGTAGTGCAAGGGTTTATCGTTATACTATGCTCTCAAACGAAAAATAAGAAGCCAGCGCTTAACATGGCGTTTAGCGTGACAAGCTGTGTGATACCTTCGATTCACCCTATCGATCACCCACCTTTTTTACAACAATAAATTCAGAGATATAATTTCGATCTAAGCTCCGTTTTCTAATATTTATTCCTCCCGTTTCGGGCAATCGATAGGGTGAACGAATGCTTAACGATAGGATGATCAGGTGACATTACCTTTTTGCTCGATACCTGTGCGTCGTCGACAGAATCGGTAGGAAACGGGGAAAAAATCATTAAAATTCTGGAAAAAGAACCGATCAGAGAACACAGGACAACATTCATTAGCTCCACCTCCCGCGCGCATATACTATCACCTTCTTCCTCTACGGATTCACTTTCGAAAACGGATATACCTCATAAAACAAAACTAATCGGAAAAAATATATATATATATATATATATACCTATATATACCTATATACGCAAGCCAAGGATCGTTAAAAAATATACTATATCATAAAAGGGGAGGAGGATGTAGAATTATATGAGTGGAATGAATGAAAGAACCTGTCCACCTTGCCGATTTCCCACTTATCTTTTTCCAAATCCAATAATAATAAGAATTAAATAATCAATTTGCTTCCATTCTCGCCCGTTCGAGGATTTTAAAAATTTTTCATCGTTATACCCTCTCTGGTTCATCGATTTGATAATGAAAAAAACGTCAACGCGGTTCAGGTTCAGTGCGCGACTGCGTGAGTGCATCGAAAATGAAAAAAATTAGCTAAATCTAGACCAAACCTTGAACGTAACGTCACTAAGTAGAGAATTAGTGGGATGCCCTACTCTGTAGAGGGAACTCTCCAATTCGGCCTGGCTAACGTTTCTCGGTTGCTTCGACTTCCCCCCGTCCGAGGAGCGTTCCCCCTCCACTTCCCTCTGACTCTCCTCGCTTTCCTCGCCAGGCGGTGGCCTGGCCTCGCTCGGGCTCAGCGCGCCGAAAAGCTCGAAGCTGAGCCGCGCCAATCGCAACTGCTCGATCAGATACGGGACAGCCGATTCTTTCAGATTGCCGATCACTTGGCGAGCGATCAACAGTGCTGCCAATTGCTGCAATCATAAAAACATCCCTCGTTGCGATAATATTCCTCGAATATTTTTAAATTTTACTTTATCAATAATTCAGTTTTGAAGGAACGGTATCCGAGTTTAGGATAACTCTGTGACTTTTTTTCTTTTGTTTTCTTTGTTTCGTTTCTATTTCGTTCCGTGTCGAGAAACAACAACAACGTGTCTAACAAACGTGTCTAAATACTAAATTACAAAGAGAAGAGTCGAACAAGGATATAGACGATTAAAAAAAAGGAACGTCTAAGTTCAACCTAAGAAGTTCGTCTATTCGGATTCATTCTCGAAGAAGAAAGAATATATATTTAGAAAGAAAAGGAGGAAAGGGATCCTTACCTCTTTGAGCCTTTCTTGATCCTGTAGGTAGAAGGCGATGTAAAATAGCGATAGGAAGGAGTTTACAAACTGAAACTGAAATACATTGTCTCTTCTGTATACTTTCTATTTGTCTGTAATAATAAATTAAAACATACACTAGACGTAACGAAACGCAAGCGTATATATATAGAATCTAGACGATACTCTCTACGTACAATGAAATAGGTTTCTTTCGATTAAGCGCAAGCAGAGAATATACAATTCTAGGGGAGGAGTTGAATTTTCATGCAGCGACAGAGACAGCCAGAGCAGATTTATATATTATTCTTCGAGTAATCAGTAATTGAACGAAGAAGCAGAGGAGCACTTATTTATCAAATATTTATAACGATAAAATCAATAAAGTCCACCTCTAAATGTATTTAAAAAAAGAAAAAGAAAGAAAGAAAACGTTTTATCACACGAGAATTTGAACAAATAAGATATGATCCAGATTGTTTATTTTTTTCTTTTTTCCTTCTTCTCGTTGTTGAATGAGCATGAAGATGAAATGCATGCTTTCGCGATCAGATATGGAGAATTATTCGAAATTATCGAACGATACGCTTTTGGAAACGAAGTTTAGTTTAAAAACGACATGGCTTGGAAGCGATGCCAATATATTAATCGCGTGAACGTTGAACTTTTGAGAAGAAAAAAAAAAAAAAAAAAAAGAAAATGTGAAAAAATAAAAAGGTAAATTCTACGACTCGGTTAGAGGAGGACACGAAAGAATACAACTATTACAACACACAAATATAAATTCTAAAATCGTTGAAAAAACGGAGAGTTTCTTCTTTATTACCAGTGCCACCTTGTAGATTAGATGATTCTCGTACTCGGTGTCTAGCCGATAGTTTTCTGCGTCCAACACACAAAAATCACAAATACTATCTACTGTAACATGACTGCTCTCCAGTATGTAAACAAAATGGAAAAAAAAAATAAATATAGAGAATTAAAAGAAAGAAAGAAAGAAAGAAAGGAAAAGAAACGAAATAGTATAATGGAATAATAGAAACAGGAAAGTATATAGGAACGGAAGAAGTAACAGGATCTAATATATGTAATATAACCTCTTACTTTTTACGATATATATATATATATATTACTCGTTCTTACGAGAGAAGTGAAAAATAACAGAAAAGAAACATTCGCTTGTTTAATATAATATCCGTTCAAGTCACGTATGTTAATCAAGGGATATGGATACATACTTCTGAATTCAATTCTCTAGTAGAAGCTAAGCCGTGAAAAGATTCGAAAAAAAAGTATATGTATATATGCTATAGGCTCTTGAGAGAAAGAGAAGAGAGAGAGAGAGAGAGAGAGAGAGAGAGAGAGAATAAAGAAAGAACTAGACGTGCAGAGTGTCTCGTGAAAATAACAACAAATTCGATGCGCAAGAGTCTCGTAGAAAATGTTCGTTCTCTCTCCGTTCGTATCAAGTTTCGCACGGGGACGATCGATCGTGTTGAGAGAAAAAAAGAGTGACAGAGCATAGAGATATAGACTATGGGAAACCAAAATAATGTACAATAATAATCGTTCTTCTTTGCAGGGATGGTTATATCATCTACGTACCCATATCGTTCAACCATACGGCGACTTTGAAGTAAGCCTCGTCCATTAATGCTATTACCACCGCCAGCAAAACTTTTGGCACGTAGCTCAACCAGAATCCGTATCCCCTCGACTCAAGACGAGCGTCCCACCAATCCTGCAAGATGGAACAATATATAAACTATGACGCTAAAAAAAGAAAAAAAAAGGAAACGAAATTCTATAAGAAAATCGATCGCGGTTAACGTCAACTCCTCGCCGAAGTACTCTTCTCTACTCTTCTCTGTGCATCGACGTATCGTGTCGATCCATTTCCAAGAGTATTATATTACCATAGATGCGTTATCGAGATTTAGGTTCGATAGAATAATATATATATATATATATAATTTTAAGTGCGAAGAATCCATTGCCAAAAATCGCGTGGACTCGAGAGGACACGTGACACGTGGAAAGCGACAGGGATTTCTTTAGAAGGCATCTTCTGGTAAGAGGACAGTAATGGACTCCTCGCCACTTTAGCGCAAGATCGTATTCTATGTCTGTTGTAGGATATCGGGTCGCTTCTTGATAAAATTATCTATTTCGTTTTAGAAAAGTGGATTTTATAAAAAAATATCATAAAAATCATCGATGATAATTCGAACAATCTAATTTTTTCCCTTTTCTTTTCTAATCGAATTTTGTCGTCGATCGAAAATATACTCCCGACTTCGAAATAACTAATTTTTAATTCGTAAAAGAGAAAAGTTTTGCAAGCGCATACATGTTGCCAAATTCGTCAAGATTATCAAAAAAAAAGTTTTTACGAATTTGAAAATGAAAAAATAAAGCAAATTTTATCGAAAAAATATGACGAACCTGTATTTGGAAGCTGAGTATCATCACGATGAAGACGAAGAACAAACACGCGGCGATAATAGGAACGCTGACGAAGTAGCGGAACATGTTTCTCTTCCATCTGGGATAAGTTGGTTCCAGTCTTCCAGTCACAGGTGAAGTTTCCAACGTGCCCTGTATATAAATTTCAAGCGAGAGGGGGAAAGAGAGAGAGAAAAAAGTAAACGAGAAATATAAAAAGCATTGGAATTAAATTCGACGAAACTTGGATTCGAAGCGCAGAAAGATGACGATAGGTGTGTAGACGTTGATGCGCTTAGCCCGGAAGCTTACCGTGAATAAAGGCCTGGGCTCGACAAGTAGGTCGTCTCTTTGATCCAAAGTGCCCCACCTGTAGGCCAATTCGGCGCCCCTTCTTTTCCACGTTTCCAAATAAACGGTGGCCCAGATTACGTTGAACACCGAGAAAAGTACGTAGGCTACGTCTTCGACCGCTTGATTCCTGCCGATGATGCCGATCTGTCGAGGAGACATCGAAATATCGAGTAAAAAACTACTCGAACGAATAATACTAATTTATTTTTTTCTTTTCCGTAATTGAAAGATCGGCACAATTTTTCTTTACCCAATATATGGCACCCACTGCAGCTGGAACAATCAGGGCGGTGGTGTAATGACCGAGCCACGCGAAGTACATGGTAATCTTGACTCCGAAATATTTACAAATATCGTCCAGGGGTTGGGGACTAAGAAACGCGCGGACCCACGTCCGTTGTAGTTTTTCCAATGCGGGCAATTCGTGAAGAGGGAAAACCTGGTTGGAATATTCGAAAAAGATTCGATTCGAAACGTTTATTCCTACCTCTTTTAAATAATAAATAAATTATCTTTAGCAAGCAACTTTAACTAACAAAATTTTACCCACTATCTATACGAATCTTCCACAGCGTGTTTTCAGACCAACCTGAGATATGATCCCAGCAGAAATGCACTTTGGAATAATTGCTTGGCCTTCGACCATTTTAAGCCCGGGTAAACTGTGAAGATCCTGCGGGCCCGCTCTGAGCGTGTGAAGCAGATGGAGAACGAGGGATTGCCTCTCCTGGGTGGTGAAGAATCGTGCCTCGTCGTCGCTACCTTCGAAACAGCTCGATTCCGAGCCTACGAATTCCTTCAATCCTCCCCCAAACTCTTGTCGCAGGGTCTTTGGTAAATGCACCTCTTCGGCAGCTTTCAATAATCTGTCGGTTACCGGTACACTCGTGAACCCACTCGTGGATGGTCGCAAGATTTTTTTACAAGGGAAGGTTACTTACACGCTAAAGGGAGCTGTTAAGTAAAAGCCGTAACTGTCAGACGAGGCGTGATGCCGCACGTGCACCACCAGGCCTGGAGTTCCGGCACGAAGTCGACCTAGCAGCCACATCAGGGTTTCGTCGCTCGTTCCACTTGGGAACATCACCACGACGTCACATTCCTGCGGATAATCACTCGTCTTTCACTCCATCATCATCCACCGATCTTTTTTTTGTAAATTTGTTCGCATTTCCATCTCTAATTCCTCGAATTTTTTTTTTTCTTTTTTGGATATTATTAGTCTATATACGTAGGGTAGAATTGCAAAAGTTCTTTATAAGAGAAATTACAGGCATTAAAATGTTGTTAACGTTATTTTGCATTTATCGTTGGATGTGCTAGACTCTTATTCTCTATTCGTGCTTGACCAATCAATCGATCATCATCCACCAATCTTTTTTTTTTGAATATTATTAGTATTTAGTCTATATATGTAGGGTAGAATTGCAAAAGTTCTTTATAAGAGAAATTACAGGCATTAAAATGTTGTTAACGTTATTTTGCATTTATCGTTGGATGTGCTAGACTCTTACTTCTCTATTCGTGCTTGACCAATCAATCGATTATCATTCATCAATCTTTGTATAAATTTGTATAAATTTCTATCTCTAGTTCCTCGAATTCTTTTTTTTTTTTGAATATTATTAGTATTATTAGTCTGTATACGTAGGGTAGAATTGCAAAAATTCTTTATAAAAGAAATTACAGGTATCAAAATGTTGTTATTCCTGCTTGACCAATCAATCGATCATCATCCATCAATCTTTGTATAAATTTGTATAAATTTCTATCTCTAGTTCCTCGAATTCTTTTTTTTTTTTTTGAATATTATTAGTATTTAGTCTATATATATATATATATGTAATGTAGAATTGCAAAAGTTCTTTATAAGAGATTACGCGGGCTAATTACAGGCATTAAAATGTTATTAACGTTATTTTGCATTTATCGTTGGATGTGCTAGACTCTTATTCCCTACGGGATCGGAGGCCCCGTATACGATAAGGCGATATTCTGGCACAAGGAGCAAAGTTGCTGGCACTGGCTGTTTTCCAAACGACTTCAGATTGCTGGATATTGCCAATTCGCGCGCGAAGACATCCTGATGGCACGCCTGACCTAACAGCACTGACGAAATTCGCCTCTACTACCACTACCGATACCTGTTATGCGCTACCTGTTCATAAAGAAAATTCTTTTCCCAGTATTTTCCAATATTTATGATATTTAATACGATTACATCATATTGATACACTTAAAATTATATCCTAATGGCAATATGCCTGGCCAATATCTCTTATGCACTACTTGTTCGTAAAAAAATTATTAAGTATAATAATAGTAGTATAATATTTAACATAATTTAATACTACATTGAGATATACTTGGAGATAGATATCTTAATGGCATGCCTGACTAATAGTATTGAATTTCACTACTACTATCGATTTCTCATTACCTGTTATTTGTTCACAAAAAAATTCTTTTTCCAATATTTATAACATTTCATGTGTTCATATCGCACTGATATACTTAAAAAGATGGCACTGATGAAATTCATCTTTATTATCTCATTGTCGATATCTAGTTACTATCTGTTCACAAAAAAATTCTTCTTCCAATTTTCCAATATAATATTCAATATGTCGATACCATATTAATATATTTAAAAAGATATTCTAATGGGACGCTCGACTGAGAGCACCAAAATTTATCTCTACTGTCATTATCGATGTTATGTTCATAAAAATCTGTTCGTAAAAAAAATTCTTATTTTCCAATATTTTTAACATGTTAATACGATATATTTAAAAAGACTTTGCAAGAAAGAGGAGGAAAAAAAAAAAAGAAAGACAAGAGAATAATGAACACGCGTTATATCGATTACCATTATCGCCATTTTTTCCTTTTTTCAAGAAGCTTCTCATTTCATTTTCCAATTTTTCTTTTTTTTTAACTATAATGATAAAAACGTGGCGTACAAGACGAGAAAGAACAGAAATTGCACGTGAATGAATCGTAGGATATTTTATCGTTGGAATTATTATCGTCGCGAAATAAAAAGGCGCCATTTAAAAGGTCACCTTATAATTAAACTCGCTTTCGGCGAGCAGCGTGCGAATTCAAAGTGACAAGAGAGGAGAGAAATGAAACTGAGAGATTGTGGATATATTGGTTGGATCCAATGTAATGCTGTTACATTGCGAAATTTATATTTTCACAAGACGACCTTTTAACCTCTCCTTAAAAAACCAAAATGCGTATTCAAATTTTTTTACAAAATCAATTTTATCAAATTACTTCAATTGTTAAACAAACACGAAGAAAAAAAGTAATTGTATTTATACAACGCATTTCTACCCTTTATCGATCCACCTTTGTCTTCGTCTCGATGAATTATTCGTAAGAACGAGGGATAATGCAAGTTTCACCTGTCTTTTCCCTCCCCAAGCTTACTAAATTTTAATTTATATCTCTATTGCTTAAAAAATATTTCCCCCACGCTTTTTATTGAGAAAATAAAAGAACAGTTCTAACTTAATGACAGGAAAAAGGATGGGAGGATCGTCTCGACATAACACACGTGTAGAACAAGGTATCGGTTAAGTGGGAAGCCAACCGTCTCGTTACGACTTTCCATTCTTGCAAACAGCTTGAAATATCAAGTAAGTTTATTCGATCAGTTTATTTGCCAGAGATTTGTTTGTCTCGAAACTTCTTTGCTGGTATTACTTCTTTCGAAGATGTTGCACTTTCAGAGCGGCATTAGCATAGCTTCGTCGTAATAATGCCCGGACATTCGAAGGGAAAAAATCGTATGGAAATAGGAGGAAGAAATAAAAATACGAGATAAAGGAGCGCAACAACACGGTATAAAAATATGGAAATATATTACGACACGTGTCAATTTCGATATTCGAAATGTTACTTAATAAGAATATAGCATAATATGAAATATCGGTTCAAGCACCTTTAACCAGATTAATCCGAACAAGGCTTTTCCATATCTAAACAAGACGAGCCTCCTTACGTACGTAATCGTTTGATCAATAATAACGATAATAAAATCAATAAGTTCTGTTTCCATGAAACCGCAATTACGAGGAAAAATCGCAAGTAGGGCGTGTATAAATAACGTAAGAATATATAAAACGTGGATACAAAATTTGCAAATTTGACGTATACTTATCGCCCGATTTCTGTCCATTTGAATTGGGTGAAAATAGACAAGCCGTTCAGATGCATATAAGGATCCGCGGCATAGAACCGACCGTGTTTTTGTATCCACACAGCCTTCTTCTTTGCCTCGTCATGGATAATTCAACCGTGACAATGGTCGAGTAATTGGTCGGTCACGTGTAATCGGGAATTTCGATTTAAAATTCTTTTTCTTTCTCGTGTCGTTCGCGATTGAAAAAATTAATCAAACCGTTTATTGTACCTTTCTTTCTAAATTTATATATTTGTATATATCTCCGTAAAACGAATTACTTTTACATTGTTACTTAATCCGCGAAGTCGAAACTTTATTAACCTTCTTCCATCAATTGGTGTTGTAAAAGATTATTAACGCGTTAATAATAATAGAACGCCAGAGAAAAAGAAATATAGAATGGAACGAGATCGTTGAAAAACATACCTGAGTTGGAACCTTTTGTATCCATAGGCGGCGGGGGGTCATCAGGTGGCCTGTGCATGGTATCTTCCGTCTGAGGAGACGAGACGCTGCAAGGAGAGAAAGAGAATGGACGTGTTGTTGTTGTTGTTGTTGTTAAATATCGATCGAGGCTGGAGGCCCGGTAACGAGACACGTCGTTAGCGCTGTATTATTTTTCTCCAAGGATCAATTTTCCGTTGAGGACGTGATGAAGCGAGAACGCGGTTTCCTTGATAAAACGCCAAATTGCGGGGTTTAATAGCTCGCGTAATTGATGGGAACGCGACGATCCATATAACGAGAGCGGAGGGGGGAATTCCGCGCTCTAATTCGCCGTTAGCCTAACCATTTTCTTCGATTAAATCGTGCATAAATAAATAGATGGAATTTTTGAAAATTGCGATTGAAATTGGCGGGGAAAAAGAAGGAAAAAAATCGGGTGGTCTTGGAATAATAAGCTGAGATTATCTTGATCTCATAATGTCTGTTATTATACTCTATTTCATTCTTCTTCTTCTTCTTCTTTTTTTTTTTTTCGTTTTTAGACTAGTATTACACGGATGGATTAATTCGAAGGAGAAAACCAGGGAAAAGAATCGTTGTGCATCAAAGCGAAGGATCGAGAATTTTTAACGAATCCGAGGGAGGCAAGTTGTGTTGGAAAACATAACGATGATCATTAATGAAACATTCGAGATGCAACTCGAACAATGATAAATTCTTATTCTAATTCCGAGTCACTCGTTTCTTCGACTGGCAAGGATCGTTATGCCGAAGGACGTTTAAAATCGTGGTTGAACATCGGAGAGGAAAAAAAAGTGAGAGAGAGAGAGAGAGAGAGAGAGAGAGAGAGAGAGAGAGAAGTAATACGACGACAGAGAG